ATGCCGTGTGGGACCTTGCCGTGTATCTCAACTTCAGTCAGGTTTGCAATACCCAGTTCCAGCAGGTCAATTATTCCAGCAAAAAATGAAATCAGACATAATATGCCTCGACATAATCCAATTTTGACAAATTCACCTTTTAAAGAATCTTGTTCCAATTCTCTAGGTTTTTACAGACTGATTTTTAGTAAATTCTTCCTGTATCGTCCTGGGAACCGATCTGTGACTCCCTGTGTGTTCTCCTCCTCTGCTCATGCCTCTCCTTCATTTAAGACTAGGTAATATGTTTGCCTGTCTCAAGTCCACTGAGATCCCCCCCATCCTCCATGAATTCCTGAAAATCATCACTAATGGTTCACAGAGATTGCTTTGTCTCTTACATAGAGTCAAATACAAGACTTAATATTGTTAGAGATTTTCTATTTTTAATTGGACTGTATTTTTATGACTCTCTGTTAATATTGACATTATATTGTGCAATTTGGTTTTTAATGAAATATTCCAGCTGTTTGCTTTATGTCAAAAGCAGCATTTTCCAATGAAAGCATCTGGAGAAAAACTTTCAATTAGCTGCACTCCTTAGCTCTCAAGACATTAATCGCTGCAATCCCCTTCTGCAATTTTACCTCAGATCTTCATACACTTGACATTCCTGGCAAAACCAGCCGATGAAAAAGACATTTTTCCAGGAACATAAAAAAAAGTGCAGGCATACTTTTTTGAAGGTCCAGGATCTTGTATTTTATCTTTGAGCAGCCAATTGCTCAGGACACTGCTCTTCAGAATAAGACCATAAGTAGTTAATAATCCCAAATCATTAATAATTATATTAAGACAGATTTGTTCTACAGTAGAATTCAATATTTAAAGTTGTCACTATAGCATTTTGGATAATGAGTTATATAAGTATTTTCTAAATGCAGGCAGAAACCCTCTGACCCTTTGATTATAGTTTGAGAGGTAAAAGACAAAGGATCGACAGCAGAAGATACACATAAAAGAACCCATTTCTAGCACAAATTTTTTACCTACCTCCTCCTTTCCTCCCCTAAACAGGAGTAGCTGATGCAGCAAGAAGACGAGTTCACAGAAAGTGCTCACTGTGTGTTCAGGTTGCAACTTTATGAAAAGGCATTTCTCCCTGCTTGCTGGATGACACTTCCATCCAGTGTGCAGGAAAAGCTTGCCAACAAAAAATCCAAACCCATGTAATGTGCTTTTAAGAACATGCACAAACAGGGTGGCTCAGCAGACCATGAAGCAACAGTAACTGCTTCTAACTTTTAAAATCACTTAGATCACGAATTGCCTAGGAT